TACATAGCAGCGTTACAGAAATAACCAAATCAGAAATCATTTCCTCTATTAAATACTTAAAAAACATTAAAGCTACAGACCCAGATAACATCGCAGCTCAGCTCCTGAAAGTAGATATTCCTACCACCACAGAGCTGCCCTACCCAGTTTGCAAAGAAATTTTGAAAACAGGACAAGTGCCACAAGAATGGCTTCAAGGTCTGGTTTTTACACACCACAAAAAAAGGTGCAGTTGCAGACTGCAATAACTGGAAAGGTGTCATAATTCTGGCAGCAGTTTCCAAAGGTTTTACGTGAATACTTTTGATACAGATGCAAGAAACAGTGCAACAACATCTGAGGGAAGAGCAGGCCTGGTTCTGCAATAAATGATCCTGCAGATCCTGCAGAGGAATATCATTGAACAACATGCTGAATGACAATCCACAGTACATGTTAACATCATCAATTACAAAAAGACTTTTGACAGTTTTCATAGAGGAAGCCTCTAGAAAATCCTACACTATGGCCCCTAATATTATCAACCTTTTCAGAGCACTCTTTAGCAATTTCCAGTGCAGTGTGTTACATGAAGGAAGTTGGCCAAAAGATTTGCAGAGGAATCCAGGGTCAAACAAGTTTGTCTTCTCTCTTCACTACTGATCCTTATTGCCCTGAACTAGGTCATTAAAGAGATACTATGTGATCAAAGATCTGACATCAGATGGACACTTACAACCCAACTAGAAGACCTTGCATATACTGGTGACCTTTGTTTAATATCAAGCACTTTCAAGCTCACCACTATAAATTGTCACGCCCTCTGCAGCCAGAGGGCGCTCCTTCTCTGTCCTGTCCCTAGTTTCCGGTCTGCTGTCCTTCCAGTCCCTCTCTTTCCCTTGGGCTTTATATTTCCGGGTCTTGCACTCTGCCCTCGCTCAGCATTGACGTTCGGATGTCCTGAGACCCGCGTAGCACCAGGGCGCCCCATGTCCGCTCCCTGAGGGCATAGGTTTCTATACGGCAGTGGTTCTCAAACTGTGGTATGTGTACCTGCAGTGGTACTTGGCGTGCCGCCAGGTGGTACGCCAAATGATCCTGGAACTGTGTTGTGTGCGCTGAAAAAATCGGGACGGGTTTTCATATTTTGTATTTTTATACATATCGAATACGCAGCCTATGTACTACGATACAGTGCGCGCAAATACTTCAGTGGACACAAGAGATACTCTGTAATTCTATACCACTCTATAGGAATGCGTGCTACGGATGCAAGTGACCAATTGTATTTAAAAAAAGCTACTGTATCTCCAGCAAATAGGGAGAAAGGAGAACAATGCCAACGTTGTAAACACAGGAATGCATAGAAATGTGTGCTATGAATGCTGGTAATCTTGTGAGCACATGAAAGCGTGAAAAATAACAGAAAAATATTTAAGAACTGTTCTAAGTTAATTTGAGAAAAATACACAGAGCGTCTCTTTGTTTCTCTCCCATGCACATGAAATAAATACTTAAAATAAACACTGAAATAAAAACGGAAATGTGGAAAAATGCAAGCTTGCGGATTGCTAAAGCAGGTAAGCCCCACACTATTATGTGTGGAGAAGAAGCTGCTGAACAGCTCGACCTGCTGCCCCCCCATTAAAGACACAGTCATTCATAGAATTATTGAAATGAAGGATTATATCAAAAGTACGCTGACAGAGCGCGTTAAGATGAGCAGATGTTTTTCACTGCAATTAAATGAGTCTGTAGTCGATTTGGCCAATTTGCTCGTTTACGTTAGATACGAGTTTGGTACGTCCCATGAGGACTTTCTGTTCTGTAAACTGCTACCAACAGGAACTACAGGAGAGCACATATTTCAGCTTCTGAATGAATTTATCGAAGAGAATGGCATCGACTGGATAAAATGTGTCGGAGTTTGTACAGACGGTGCTAGAGCAATGACAATCCGACACAGCGGTGTAGTTGCACAAATTAGAGAGGTTGCTCCAGAAATTTCATTGCAACATCCACCGCGAGACCTTTGCTGTCAAGAAAATGCCTGACGATTTAAAATCTATTAGACTGTTGTGAATTGTATCAAGGCTCGAAAAATTAATTCACATGTGCTTTGCTCGACTAAACAGGCTCACCCCTCTCACTGAAATGGTGCTTTTTTATTAGTTGTTGTTAATGTTTTTCTGTAAAACACTTTGAATAATAAAGTTTATTATTATAATATTTATTATATGTATGTGTGAGTGTGTGTGCACATGCGCTCATGTTGGTCATTGAGAATTTCTGGGGTTCCTATGAGATGATGACTTGTAGGTGGTACTTGGATGGTTTGGTTGGATAAGGGGTGGTACTTGGTCCAAAAAGTTTGAGAACCACTGCTATACGGCATTCCTGAACTCTTTGCACTAATGAGCCCGGGCCTTTTTCCTGTCTCGCCGCTACGCATATGGGTCTTTTTCCACTCTCTTTCTCCCCACGGTTAGTCCCTTTGGACGTCCGTGACATAAATATAACCATTTGAACACTGTCTTAGGTAAAAGTTGTCTCAGGATCAACACAAAGTAAAGTAGATGGGCATCAACATAAACACATCAGAATAACTAGATATATTATACATTATCAACAAAATAAACACCTTCACCTGCCTTAGTAGTATTGTAGATGAGTGGTACTGACGTAGGCATGCGCTCCCGCATCAGCAAGTTCAGAGCTGTCTTGCAACCCTAAAACAAACATAGAGATCGAATAACATCTCACTCAAAACCAACGCAAAGTTTTTCAACTCAGACATAGAGACTTGTTGTCTTTATGGCTCAGAATATCAGGAAATCACAAAAGAAATAATGAATAAAGTTTGAACTTTTAGAATCATTCTGGGGGTCAGTTGGAAGGAAGCATCCAAAGTGGCCGAGGATACGAGAAAATTGAGGCACCTTTTGGAGGCCTTCTGCGCCATTTTGTGTGATGAGGCCTAAGTAAATAATCCTCTGGCCTAGTGTTTAGAGCTCCTTTAGAGATTCAACAATCAGGGCAATAGAATTAGAAATAAAAAGTTTTCTTTCTTTCAAGCAGAATCATGATGGTCCTGATATAACCTGAAATTCATGTCTGATGTTTTTTATTTACTTTATTTTTAGTTCCTGGAACTAGGGTCCTGGCAACTGGTGGAGCATCAGCAAACAAAGACATTCTGCAGGTAAATGTCAATATTTATGGTAAAAAGCCTTTAATCACTAAAGACGGATGTCTTTGTGTTTAAAGTGATATTTTTGAAGTTGTTGGCAACATCAATTTTTGTGCACTCCCTGCTGGGATAATGGGTAAAAAATCATTTATATTTTCTTATCAAAAAGCACATGTACTTTCTTTTCTGTGTATTAGTGTTAAATTAAACATGTGTTGTAACTACTCAGATTAGTCATCTGTTTTTACCGTGTCATTCATGAAAATTATTTTATCTGTACTTTGGCTGTTTTATTACAAAAGCGACCTACACACCCTTTGCCTTTCTACAGTGTAAGTTTATGGCTTGAGTGTCACTCATTATAAAATATAACATAGATCATGTAAGCTTGTTTATAATGAGCATAAATGTTTCCCTCATGTCATTCTTTTGCTGTTCCCGACTTTTGACTTGCTCTGAGTTGGAATTAAAAAGTGGTCAACATAGGTAAATTAAATTGCTTACTGTCATGAAAAGTAACCTTAAACTTATTCTTAAACATATATACTGAACATCAAAAGAAACATTATTTTGTATGTAGATTTTTAGAAATCACAAGTAGACTTTAGGTATTGATTAAAGTGTAATTATTGTTTCATTGATCATTCCTGACTGGGCATGATAGTTCATGTTGCATAAACAGTAAATCACCTCAGAGATGAGAGAATTCATTGAGCACAGGTGATGAGGTGATTTAACCCGTTGAATCTAAAAAAAAATCAAGTAAGAAAACACAGAAAGGAACCAACATGCTTGGCTTATCAAAAGAAAAGCTTTTATGCTGCAGGTATATTGGATGCTGGAGTAAGTAACCTAAGGTTGTCTCACCAGCGTTGAAGCCAAGCCCTGTTTAGCGATGAATAAAGATTTGTGTAGTACTCCCTGATGCACGTCACAGAGCAGTATACAGATGTGCAGAATGATCCACTAATTATTGTGTACTATAGACCAGACACTGGAGAGGTCTCAGATGATGGTCTGGGCAGGAGTGTTTGGTATTTGCTTGTAGTGATTGATGGCATCCTGACTGGTGCTACACTGATCAAGTCCTCAGCCTTACGTGCTTCTTTCTTGGCATAACAACAGAAAGACAAAATATGTCCTCTTTGCTTTTCTTTCAACGACTTTCTTATGAGAAGACAATGTAAAAGTTATGCTATGGATTCACTTCTCACAAGGCTTGAGCCCCATTGAACAGCTGAGGGATGAGCTTGGACAACATGGCATTGAGTAATCAGAGACCAGCAAATAAGAATATAAATATTTATGTTCTATATAAGGAAGGAGACCGATAACTACAAGGCAGTATCATCAAAATGTTGTGTTGTGTGACAGCTTCTATTACTATTACTTTATTACTTCCAACGGTGGCCACACACTACTAGAGGTACTACTGTACCTTTTATTTATATATACTGTATATATAATATAGATGTCAAAATTGACACTCTGTATTTGAAACATGAACATTCACTAAACCAAATTTATAGAGTGTAATATATGTTCTTGTTGACTGATTTATCAGTGATATCTCTTCAGCATTTATTGAAAACTCATTCATCCTGGTAATATAGGGTACAGGAAGTCAATATTTGCTTCTAGGTGTGTAGGTTCAGTATTGACCTCAATCTTCCTGTTTTCTAAAATAAAACATGTATGCTGTTGTTTAATTTCAGATACAATCTCTACCGAGAGTTTACTTTTAACTAATAAGCATTTATCTTCAGGTTCTTGCAGATGTATTCAATGCTCCAGTGTACACAATTGACACAGCTAATTCAGCCTGCCTTGGGTGTGCTTACAGAGCCAAGCATGGTAAGAAAACCGAATAAGTGCCGGAAATGCAAAAGTTCTTCTTTCCTTTTTGTTGCCTTACTTTACAATCCACACTTCTTTGCACTGTCATAGCAGCCTATGCTAATCATATGAAAATGCAACAGACCATTTTCATACGGTGTTATTGAGACACTTGATTCTTTATATCTGGGTCACTAAAGGTTTTTGTTTTTGAACCATAGCCATTTCCAGGGCAGACTTTCTCACTTCTTCAATTGGCAATGCACACTTGGCTTGGTGCTGCTGGAGGTAAGGCTAAGATTAGTTGGCTATGAGTCTCTCAGCTTCCAGCAAAACAGTGGCCCTTGCAGGTTTCCAAGGGACTGTGGGATTGTGGTGATATCGTGAGGCTCCAGACTATCTTGTGGCACAGCAAAGCTTGTTACATGACAAAGCATGAATTGCTTGACTGATGCACTTGTCGTATGAGCCTGTTTGCACTTCCTAATTCTCTACCTGTGTGCATAGGAATTTTTGCTGTGGGTCAATGGTGTAAAGACACAGTTGGAGGACCCACATTTGACGAACACACGCTCAAAATAATTTTTGTAGTGGATGTCAGTTTAAAAAATAGATAAAGGGCAATCGTTTTTAATCCAAATGTTACAATACTTATGAGTGCAACTACCAATAATCTCTCACTGAACACTCTCCTTCTTTTTCGCCAAAGCCATAAAATCCAGTACTTTTAGATAGACAAACTGCAAACTTTTAGATGCAAACTGTTTATAGATATAAAACAGCTGTTTTCACTAAAACATATTCTCTAGCTTTTACCTTGTAGCACCATTGGATAGAGACCTTAAGCAATGTGGTGAGGCCTGTGGATGGCATTCAGTGGCACTGTTAATTCCATTAGGTCATTATGTTAATGTTGTGTTATTTCATTGTATAAATTGATTGTTTTGCTGAGTTTTATTCTGGAATTTAATCAATAAAATATCCAAAGTAAACTACTGAAAATACATTCCAAAACACCCAGTGAAACAATTTTTAATGTGTCTTTAATACCAGATTACGAATCAATGGCTTTTGCAGAACATACAGTACATACATTTACAAGATATACTAGACGTTTATCAATTGAAGTACAAGAAACAATAGTGGTACAAATGGGGAATTATGAAACTTGTGAAAGTTTAGCTTTGTAGCTGGAAGTGTTCACTCTGCCAGGTGACACAAACTTTATCTAAACTCTTAGAGACACTTCCTAGTCACCTAACGCTGTAACAATATATAGGGTATCCCTGTTTAAGAGTCTGCAAGAATGCTGTTTGCTCAAGTTACTGATTCTGGTGGAGCTTGAGCTCATACTCAAATTAGATGCTCCAACATATGGCCAACAAGTGAAGACAGGACAAACATACACATATACAGTATAAATCTCTTCCAGAGATAATATATTTTGCTGTCATTTTCCGTCATTTACTACATATGGTCCATTCCATGTTAGCTATCGATTTTCTTTCTGTGTAATTGTTGGTACCCTATAAACTCGGTTTTAGAGTTAGAGTTTGACTGAGTGTTTGGGGTGATGTCAGAGGAAGAGTTTGCATTAAGTCAGAACCACACATGTTGCATTTTCTCTGGAGAAATTCTATACTTTGACATTAATCAATAATTTAGACTGAATCTTCTGGTCTTTTAGTGCAACAAAGGGGATAGCGTTGTGCTATTTTGTTTTTTTTAAACTCTTGTTTTTATGATTCTGTTTCAGGTGCCTGCAGCATATTAATGTGGAAAATCGGAATGAATTATTTTGTAGCTCTTAATTAGTAAAACAGAACAGATAGCTTGTACAGATCAGAATTGTTTGAATTAGAACCCTTGCAGCTCTTTAAATAGAGTCATTTTATTTTTCATAAAATGCTTTCTTTTTTAATTTAAATGAATATTTCTCTACTCGTACAGATTTCATGTGTAGCCTGTGGCAGTTAGTTAACAGAAATTAAAACTTTAAGTCTTTTGTCATTACTTGAATGTTCCTTTTGTAAGTTGGTAAATCTAGTCCTTAAGCAACATAGCTTTGTTCAGATTCCTGTTGATACTTGACCGCATGCATTCAGCATAATATTTGAAAAATATTTTAATCAGTAGAAACTAATCAAAATTAAAGGCAATTAGAATTCTTTGCAACCGTTATGGGAAACTTCATGTAACTTTAATTAGCTTATTTCATTTACATTGTCACCAAAGTAGTGTGCCGAACTGTCAGCTATAGATCCTAGTCTCAAAAGAAAGGATGTTCATACTGTGTGTAATGCTATTGTCATTTTTATTTTACACAGAAACAGAATTATTTCAAATCTGAGTTTGAGAAGACAAAGTACTCCACGTAACATTCGTGTTTAGAATGCCAATGATTTTTTTTCAGGCACTAACACAGAAAGAACATCCATAACTAACATGCCAGCAGCCATATCACCGTGCAACTCACAACTGGCAACCCATAAAAACTAAGCAGGTGTGAGCCTGGTGAGTACTTGGATGGGAGACCTTCTGGGAAAAACTAAGGGTGCTGCTGGAAGAGGTGTTATTGGGGCAAGCAGGGGACACTCATCCTGTAGCCTATGTGGGTCCTAATGCCCCAGTATAGTGACGGGGACACTATACTGTAAAAAGGTGCCATCCTTCGGATGAGGCGTAAAACTGAGGTCCTGACTCTCTGTGGTCATTAAAAATCCCAGGACGTTTCTCAAAAAGAGTAGGGGTGTAACCCTGGCGTCCTGGCCAAATTTTCCCTTGGCTCTTACTGATCATGGCGTCCTAATAATCCCCATCTATGAATTAGCTTCATTACTCTGTTTGCCTCTACACTGATAGCTGATGTGTGGTGAGCATACTGGTGCACTATGGCTGCTGTTGCATCATCCAGGTGAATGCTGCACATTGGTGGTGGTGGAGGGGAATCCCCATTACCTGTAAAGCTCTATATAAGTGTAAATAAGTTATAATTAACATGGGATGGACAATAATTCTTGTCTGATAGAAAATTACAACAAAACACTTAATCTTTGGAAAAGATTTATACTGTACATGTGTAGGTTTGTCCTGTCTTCACTTTATTGCCATAGTTTGGAGCGGCTAATTTGTGTATCAACTTAAATTGTGCAGATTGTAAATTAATGATTTTTCCATAACACAAGCCTAGCCACATTCTTGGCTGCAGGTGCACATTTGCTTCCCATTTTAATTGTAGTGTACTTAGGATAATACCTGATATTTCTGTCTTAAAAGTTTTAAGCCAGAAAAAGTTTGAAATTTGGTGAGAAAGATATCACTATAATCATCTAGCCTTGGTTGAAATAGTTTGAAAGCCCATTTAGTATTACCATGAGAATGCTTTTATTTGCCTGTCTGTATGATCAGAAGGTAGTGCCTGCTCAGACTATTTTGAAATTTGAATTCTTAGACTTTTTTTCCTATCTTGCATTTTATTCATATTCTTCTCTCTCAACAGTTTAGAAACTCTGCAACGAATACTAATCAGTTAAAGTATTATAACATTACAAAACCTTGTGCACAGGAAATGCAAGAGATTTCCAACTTATGCCTAGCTACAGTACCATGATGATTCATGATGATCCTTAAAAGCCCTTTCATTAAATATTCTAAAGGATAAGGTATGCTTATCCTTTTAATACTGTATAGTTCAATAATGAGATGAACAGAGTACATAATAAGCTTGGGCAAAGGAAGGTAGTTGGTAGTATGGCACTTATGACCTCATGTAGGTAAAATAAATGAAAAGGCAACTCACAATATTTGCAGTTCAAGAAAACTTTGATTTGAAGTTAAAATTTTGTACATGTTGTACAAAAAAATAGCCCAGTGGTATGGTAGTTGTTGTTCCTGTCTCATAGTTCCTGTCTTCAGTCCTAGGTTGAATTTTGGACCTTCTATTTGGAGTTTGCATATTCTTACCATATCTGTCAGGGAATTCACAAGGCACTATATTTTCACCTTACATTTTGAGAACAGTGATAGTTGGATTAATTGGCATCTCTAAATTGTCACTATGTACTGTATGTCCATGCTCTTGAGTACTGTATGTGTATGTAATGCAATGGACTAACATGCCTTCCAACTTGTAATCCTGCTGTTTTCTAGTTCAGTATGACCCTTACTAGGATTAAGCAGCTTTCCGATAGTAAAAATGGAAACAAATGAAGAACTTTTGTGGCAAAAAGTGGCCTGATGTTGACTAATATTCCATCTGTCCAGTTTGCTGCATGTGTTCATAGTTTATTTAGTTGCGTTCATTTTAAACCTACACCAGTTCCAGAGAAAGAAGGCAAAGCTAAAGATGTGAGCATGGGACTTGATTAAGTTATGTTAATGAATATACAACAATCCATTGAATATGAAACAACTAATGGGTTTAATAGGATTACATATTTAATTTAAAGCTTGCTTAGTGAATCGGTAATTGTATTAACTGGATGTTTATAGAAATTAGATGTCAGATAATGATGTCTTGCAGAGTTTAGTGAATGGATGGCCTGGCTTCTAGAAAGATTAGAACTTGGGCTGCACCAGTGATCCTCATATTCACAGTACTCTGCATTGGTGAAAATGTTTGTAGTTTCTGTCTTCTACTTATAGCTGTCATTTTTGTGACTGGCACTGAACATTATTTTTCACTGTATATATAACTTTTTCCCAGCTGCCCTTAAGACTGTTTTCTGCATAGAACAAATCTTAAGATGCTAGTTTGTCCTTCATCAAATGCAAGTTTGCTGTCAAGATCCTCTGCTTTCTCTGCCATATAGTGTGCTACAAGTTCACTACCTTGAAAAGAGTGCTGGAAGAAACAAGTATAAAACAGTGCAAAAATCCACATTTTCCGACCAAAAAAATATTACTAGTAGTAATTATCATGGTTGTAGGATATTGTAGGCTATTCCATGTTGTTTGACACTATCATCCTGCTATTTTAGACATGATTTAAACAAACTGGGACCTGCACAACAAACACA